AGCTCACAAATGTCACTTCACAACTCTCAAGTTATTAACATTCCCAACAGTCCGCTCTGTGTCACAGACACTGGGCTTCAAATGAAGGGGGGGTGTAATGTCACAAACAAAACACAGAGTGGAAGTCTGTTCTGTTAATTGTTGGGTGATTGAGTATCGTTTAGAGTTTCACTGCGGTGCATGTGCGTGCTCAAAGTAAATTACACAACATAACCTTGATTGGACTTGCAGCACTCCCCTTAAACCACTCCTTTGGAGACTGTTACCATGCAATTATTACATAGATCAAGTTTCTGCATAATCCGTGGGTGGCATATCTGACTTACTCTACGTGACTGACTAACCAAGATGTGGAGGCACGCTAATACAGTGTAATCAGTGTTATGGTGATTAGTAATTTTTAAAATGTCAAGATATATAACAGAGGAGAGTCATTCTTACAAGTTTTACCACAATGTGATCAGTGGTGTCTAAGTTATGACTTGACACAAAGACAAAAAACAAGATAAACTGTCATGGGTTAGTTGGTGTCACTGCCAAAATACACTAATAAGAAGAGCCAAACATCAGTAAGTTGAAAATGCTCAGTGGTACTTAAACTTTTTACATTGCGTGCCACCTCTTAAAATATTAGGCTTTCCAGGTACCACCATTATGACTGACAAAAATACAATAACATAGGCCTACTCTATTTAGCAACAGACAGTTCATGCAGGAGGCAGGTTTACTCCTAATCAGAAGATTATTTATTGCTGTCATTGACGGTCATGCTATACAAAGGGGTAGCACTAGATCTGGCAGTTAAACTTATCTGCAAAATTCTCATACACCACAAGGGCCAGCTTTCATCAGTTGAGGGGGCTCAGTTGACTGTTGTCCATTTCAGTTTCAAAGGGGCTGCTCGAAATATTCTTCTCCTGATCGCACTTTTATTCCTAATATTTGGAGCCACGATTGCAGTGTTTTAAGCTATTTATTTACCTCAGCTTACTATTGTTCCATCAGAATTTAGCTTATAACTAATCATGGGTGTATGCGCTTGCTACATTCATGGACGCGAATATGTAGCAGGCTGATATCAAAACAAAAATATAAAGAGAAAGGGCAAACTAAATTACATCTCAGGTGTCTCATAGTTTTAGTATATTAATTGAAAATGTTTTAGTAATTTGATATACAGTGGTGGAAAAAAGTTTTCAGACACCCCATGCATTTGTGAAATATTGCATTAAGAATCACTCTTAGGTCTTCAAGTGCAATTTTAGTACACTCACAGCCAAAATACTAAATAAATCCTAAAAAAGCCATTTAAACTTAAAATAGATTGGTTCCATAAAAATACATAAGAAATTTTGAGTATTGGGTCATTTTGGTACCAGTGATGAAGGTCGTTCTTTTTATTAAAAGACACAATTTTTGTTGCCAAGCTTTGTGTCTACATAAAGCCAGCACATTTGAAAGTTCTTCAGACACAAAAATGGCTAAAACAAGGAACCTAACGCAGGAAACACACCTGAAGATAAAGATTCTCAGCCAGGAAGGGTACAGCTGCCGCCAGATAGCCAGGAAGTGCAGATGCATTCCTTCAGCAGTTGGATACACTCTGCAGAAATACAGACGAACCAACAGCTTGGAAGACAAACCAAGATCTGGGCATCCAAGGGTTTCTTCAGCAAGAAATGACCGCATCCTGAACCGCATGTGCAGGCAAAACCGCCGAATGACATCACAGGAGCTTCAGCAGCAGTGGTCAAACCAAACTGGTGTCCAGTGTTCCACCCGCACTGTACGTGGCCGACTTTTAGATCATGGCTTAAGGTCCTACAAGGCTATCAAGAAGCCCCTGATCAATGAGAGACAGAGGTTAGCCCGGCGTCGTTGGGCCCAGGCACACAAGAACTGGACAGCCAGGAATTGGAAGAAGATTTTGTGGTCAGATGAGTCCAGTTTCCAGCTTTATCTTCCTCCTACTAATGTGAGGGTACGCAGAAGGCCAAGCGAAGCATTATCTCCAGCATGTACAGTACCTACTGTCAAGCATGGTGGAGGCAGTATCATGGTTTGGGGATGCATGAGTGCTGCTGGTGTTGGTCATCTCACTGTCTGTGATGGCACATTGAACTCTACCAAGTACTGTACCATTCTCGAAACCCACATGCTGCCTTCTCGAGTGCACTGTTCCGTCGAGGTAAAAACTGGATGTTTCAACAAGATAATGCCCCTTGCCACACATCCAAGGCCAGTAGAACTTGGCTGCAGGAGCACAGTATCCAGGTCTTAGAGTGGCCAGCTCAATCCCCGGACATGAGCCCCATTGAAAATCTGTGGTGGATTATCAAAAGGTCTGTTTCAAAGCATAAACCAAAGAATTGAGAAGAATTAAAAGCAGTAATTCAAGAAGAATAGGACAAGATTACCCCTCAACAGTGTGAAAGGCTCGTGGGGAACATGCCAGCCAGGATTAGAGCTCTACTACGTGCCAATGGCAGGACTACTAAATATTAATTTGATGATGTGATGGTTTATTTATTTTTTGTTCAGTTTTGAACACATTCTCTGTTATTTGTTGACTTTGATACCGACAATGTTGAGAACTGACATATTGAAACTGTCAAGAATTTAGTTTTGTTAGTTTTTCTTGTAAACAATAAACAAAGAAATACAACAACAAATGCAGCCACACCTTTTGAAACACAAAAAAGATTTTTCCACAAATATTTTATGATAATATTTGAGACTGTATAAAATTTTAAGGGTGTCCGAAAACTTTTTTCCACCACTGTATGTTAAATTACTTTTTCAAAAAACTTTTCAGAGATTGCGCCGTGTACCACTGGAGGAAGTTCGTGGAAGACATGGACATGGACGTGGTACACATACCAAAGTCTGGGAACCTGTGGATTAGCTGATTGAGAGAAAATTTATCTGCAACTTTTTTGACAGTTGAGCAACTTCAAGCAAAAAAGGCAAATTTTGTTTTGTTTTGCTTTCAGCTTCTCAAATGTGATGTCTTGCTGCTTTTATTGGTGATATAAGATAGTAAACTGAATATCTTTGGCCTTTGGACTACTAGTCAGATTAAGCAATTAATCTGACTATAGGAATTTTTCACTATTTTCTGACATAGGCGAAAGTTGGTTAATTGAGAAAGTATTGGTAATGAAAATAATAACACTCGCAGCCCTAGTAAGCTATAACATCCTCCTGAGACCCTGTATCCTCATATGAGGACATCACATTTTGGGTTTACTTGACCTTATACTTCATTCCATTAAACTTATTGTCCTTATTTGTGGACACTTTTTATGCCAACTAGTGGTAGTAAGAGCACAATACACTAACCCATGTAAAAACAAGATGGTAGCCATCTCTGCCAGGTCAGTCTGCAGCCGATCCAGACACAAAAGTGGGCAAGGTGATATAGTAACAAACTAATTAGACCAATTTTAGCAACAATAACCAGCTAAGACACTGTTTATTAGGAAGTACTCGTATGAAGACATTAGGAATTTACGATCATCTCGTTTGAGACATTAGGACTTTTTTATAATTTCACTTGAGGACACTGGGGCTTAATTACTGTTGGCAATGTTTATTTTTTATATACTTATCAGGGCCTACTGATCCGAAACAGCTATGAGAAATTAAGAATGCATACTAAGCATAAGTTCGGGTCTCAGGAGGGTATGATTGAGAGAAAAATTATCTGCAACTTTGACAGTTGAGCAACTTCAAGCAAAAACGGCAAATGTGTTTTGCTTTCAGCTTCTCAAAAGTGGTGATTTACTTCTTTTATTGGTGAACTGAATATTTATGGCCTCTGGCCTTTTAGTAAGATAAAACAACTCATCCTAATACAGGTATTTTTCAATATTTTCGGACAAATAGCCGAAAGTCGGTTAATTGAAAAAATATTGATGATGAAAATGGTGGTTAGCAATGGTGCCTTACAGCAAGAGGGCGCCTGGTTCGAACCTCCAGTGTGGTGTAGCCCTTCTGTGTGGAGTTTGCATGTTCTCCCTGTGTCAGCGGTACTCCGGCTTCCTCCCACAGTCCAAACACATGTAGGTTAATAGGTGACCCTAAATTGCCCGTAGGTGTGAATGTGAGCATGAATGGTTGTCTGTCTCTATGTGTCAGCCCTTGACAGTCTGGCGACCTGTCCAGCCTGTACCCCGCCTCTCCAGCTGTGACCTCTAATAGGACAAGCAGGGACGGGAAATGAATGAATGAAATTATAGAACCAATTTTCAAAGTCACGTTTGGTCAAAACTGAGTCACCACAGAGTAAGATAGTAGATAACTATTGATACTTTCAAGTTGGGACTGGCATTGAAAGGCAGTTTTAAGTCAAAATTTATGACATGCAAATGGAGCAATTATACAGATAGTAGTGAGGCAAAAGATGAAAGAAGACATGTGCAAATGAGTGGGAACATAAATATGCAAATACAAGGTTAAACCAGTAACACTTTTGACACATGCTAGTATACAAATGTACCTCCCTACACCCAAGGCAACACAGTGCACCTGTGTTCCACCCATGTGATCTCCTGACTTTAAACATATGGTGTGATTCCTCACCCACATGGCACATCTAAACCATGCCATGTATGCTGTCAGTGTGTCCAACCTGGACAACACACTCTCCTCGCTATATCCCTCCATCGTCCACATCTTCTGAGGCTCCTCTCAGTCTGTACATTCCAGCCACAGCAGCTCACTGACCCGAGCCAGGAATGAGGCTTGGATCCGGGCTCTGGCTTCAGCTGTGGCTGGGTCTTGAGCTTTAAATCAGTGAAAGCTGGCTGGTCAAGTTCCGCCTGCCTGGCTCCTCCTTAGTAAGCAAAGCCCTGAGCTGGCAGCCGCTATTATTCTCCCTCCTTTCTGTCCCTCCAGCCGCTCCCTCTTGTCTCTCTTTTGTCCTGACAGCCATTCAAGGACACACTACAGGGCTGCCCCCCTCCTCTGTTTACCGGTGTAACCCCCCTGAGTCCTACCTTGAGTGCAGCCTCTTGCTGGCCAGATCCTGGTCCACACCGTTAGCAGCCGACTGAGCCATAGGACCGCTGCTAGCCTGCCTCCTCGCTCGTTTCCTCCCGCTATGAGGCCCCCTCACAATTATTTCCTCCAGAGGCAGCTACCCTTTTCTTCTTTCTGTCGTTCCGCCTCTCTGTCACTCCGTCCCCCCCTTTATTTCTCTCCTTCTTCACCAGTGTCTCTCTCCGTCTCCCGCAATGGCAGCTGCTGAGGAAATGAGGTATTGCGCAAATAAACCATATAAACACACGGTCCCGCCCCTTAAGTGACGTCACGGGCCGGGGAGTTGCTTATGCGTGAGAGTTGAATGTGCTTCACTTAAAAAATAAAAATATATTTCATGCACAGACATATTCTTTTATTTCCCCAGTGTTTTATTGCTGTTGTTGGCTGCACTTCAAAATATTTTAAGTTATTTTTTCTCTGTTTAAGGAGTGACATGCATCCTGTTTACTGTCAACACCACAGGTGGAGGTGACTGGGTGTGGTCTAAGGTGTGCTTCCTTTCACCTGCACCCACCCAGCTGTGATGTCACAAGGTCCTTGAGTATACCTGAGCACCACAGCATCAAGGTGAGAGGTATGTTCAATGTACTCACTGTTAGTAAAACCCCTTAAAATGTATCGGACACCCCCGAAAGTGTTTGTTTTCGTCTGCCTGGAACATCCTGACCTCTCACCCTGTGCTGTGGTGCTCAGGTGCACTCCAGGACCTTTTACGGCATCGCTGCTGCATCCAAATGAAAAGCAAGTCAAAAAACACAAAGTGCTGTGAAAATTGTGCAAATTCATTCTTAAAATACTCCCTGCGTCCTTGTTCCGTAATTCTATATAGTAACCATAAGGGCCTAATTTTAAAAAAAATTGTCTAAATTACCATTCAATTCTTTACTTTTTTATTAAAATATTGTATATTATTGGCCTAAAAGCAGTGATTTTTTTTAAATATTGAGTCTTAAAATGAGCTCATGAAATAATATCACCCCAGGCTACTAAAACTATAAAATTTCCAGGGAAATAAACAAACACACAATCCTATGTATTTTTCCAGTCTTGATTCTGCCTGTCTGAACCTGCCTGCCTGTTTCCCGAACTAGGGAGTTCTCACCTGCCTAATCTGCCTTTTGTGATTGATTTCCTGGATTTGACCTCTGTCTGTTTCCAGATTAAAGCTGAGAAGAGCTTTGACTTTACTCTGACTGACTGTTTATGTCATGCTTTTGGGTTCAAGTCTGTTCTGTGCCACAACCACTTCAGTATCTGGGACATGACTCATGATTGTGTTCTTTTTAAAGCCCCTAAAAACTTAGGATCAAAACGTCAGGATTTCTCTGACAATGAATAATCACAAATAAATAAGCAACAGTGAAAGCTGTTTTATCGAAAAACACACACGAACACACACATACACACACAAGCACAGTTATTTTAACTACATCCAAATCAAATGAAAGTGAAAAACACAGTTGAGGCACTTTCAAAATCATGCCAAGCCAACAGACGGTGATATAACCTTAGCCCTACAGACATATTGGCCTATTCTGCAAAGAAGAAGAGGAGAAGATGTTGACCAATCAGAAGCCTAAAATAAATCTTTTACCAGAATTATGTAGATCATGTAGCAATGACTTCTGTAACGCATTCCAATGCCTCAGTTCCTCTGTATAATGGAAGAGTAACTGTACCTTTATGTGTAAACATGTATAAAGTTCTGTAAGCAACGTTGGAACCGGCACTATTTTGTCATGTCTGCCACACCACATCTCATTTGTGAGGCCTCACAAAGGAGATAACAGCACACACTCAGACATCACAAGAAAAACTCAGTATTCCCTGTCTACATGTCAACACTGAAACCTGAGTTTCCTAACACCTTGTCCCTGAGACGACTAAAGTGCAGTCTGCATGTGGACAAAAGGCCAAAACACACAGTAAAAAGCTACATTTAAAAAAAAAAAAAATGCCATGTACATGTGGACAAGGCATTTGTAACATTCATTAAGACCTCATATCAACACTCCAAAACTCAGCTAATCTGCTTCATCAGGGGTGAATGTGGTTTGATTGTCAGAGACGGCAACATACCCACAACCTCACCTTTTCCAAGTGAGCCCCACCCACTTCCAACCAGTGAGCAGTTCAGAAGAAAAACACAAATACAGAAATTTGTCATTGTGGAAGCACCAAAAGCGTCCTAACTTTTGCAACAAAAAAAAGGTGTGACCATATCCCATTGCTCATAAGAAACTGATTGAAAAAATAGATTTCAAGGGCCTTTAAACAAAATGTGAAAGTGTCGCTGGTACTGTTAATCCCAATGAGAATCAACACCTGTCAGTAGTTGTGTGCCACTTTCACCCATTTTACTCTCACCATTTGGTTTTTGTGGTCTATCAGAGTTCACCTTCCCATACCTTGACTGTGGGCAAGCTTCTCCCAGCTCACTCACGCAGCTGTATAATACCTGTGGGTCTGCTCTGTAAGAAGCAAAAGGACACAAGTCTTCTCTCAAGGCCCTTCCTTTAAGTTAGAGAGGGTATAGTTGGGGAAAGGTGACTACTGTGACCATGAAACAGTGAATTACTACTACTACTGTTAGCGTTAAGGCCATGCAAACTGTATGCTGACCAGCATTTTTTAATGTACCTCTTCTATGTTGTCAGTATAGAGCTATACAGCTACTGTCATTTATCACATTAGCAGTCATTTGTTCCAAACTGCAAACACAACAAATTTCAACTTACCTGACAGTCCTAAACTTTCTGGAGATGCCTCCAGCTATTTGCACCTGTATCTAACAGACTTGCTCCCATCAGTCAGATTTGTGTCACAGCACCGTATTAGATTTATGACAGGTATCTGCATTATCAGCTTTGCAGAGCCTCAGAACAAACTTTCCCTCAACAATACTTACTTTATGATTGTCACTGACTTTGTTTAGTGGCTCTTTCATATATAAGTGGTCACGCATATGCCTCATTATGCGGAGGTGCAGTCCACCCTCTTGCCTCTTCACCCTACAATCTAGTTTGACATTGTCATGGTGACAGAGCTAACAGGACAAAGTACCCTGCCACCATTTGCATCTCAAGATGCTGCCTAGTTATATTGGTAGTCTGTTATTGTGAAACACATCTGAAATATATTTCCTATATGCTTTAGGTCTCATCTAAAACCCCACCTTTACACCTTGGCTTTTAATTCAAACTGAGAGTTTTGTGGTCTTTTGCCCAGTCTTTTCAGGCTGTTGACTAGACGTTTGTGTGTCTTTGTTTCTGCGTTTATGTTTTAGCTATTTTTGTGCACTTATTTTGTTCTGTACAGTACTTTGGTAATCCCCGTGATTTGTAAAATGTGCTATATAAATAAAGTGGATTGGATTGGATTGGTCCGTGTCACAACCTTTTTGGTTTGTAACCCCTTAAAAATGAAGCAACTTGAAAGCCATTGCAAATACATAGTTGCATAGGTCTATAAGTTATGAGCAAATTAACTAAAAAGTATACATTATTTGAATAATTATTAGATGCCTGAAGACGGAGAGATGTTATCCAGCAATTTATAAGAAAAAAAAAATAAGAGGAATGTCTGAAAAATAAATGTACTTCCTATTCGGCAATTTAGATTCATCTTATCAACCTTTTGGGGGGGTCGCGACCCCAAGGTTTGAAGTCATTTCCAGCTTTATTATTGTTCCTCAGGTCCATCCTTCTGTCTCACTAATTACACCTGTGCTTGTTGCCTGTCTGTCATTACATCATCCTGTATATGCCAGATAAGTTGCTCACCGAGCAGACATACAGCCTGCTCCCTGGGGCTCTCCTACCCTGAACAAAGGCTGCCCACGTAACATTATGCTTTGGAAAATGGCCAGCAGAAACATGAGGTGTATGTGTAGTGTATATGTAGTCAGTGGCTAGAAAAAATGAAATCATCTGCATTGTCCTATATACATTTGTTTATGCACCAAATGCATGTGATGCTTCCATTAATATTTCCATGTCTTAAATACATTTTATTACCTCATAGTTACTTGAATATTAATAGAGGACTATCCATCCATTCATTCTCTCTTAAACTGTTCATTACATTCCAATCAATTTTTAGCAGTCACAGATAATAATTTATAGTATTGCTATATGGAGTTAGTCACTCACATATTAATTGCTAAATAAATCCCTCATAATGTAGCATAAAGTTCAGTGGCATAAGGTAGTTTTGATGGGCCCCAGTGCACACCATCATGCACATACCGTCTTGTCAAATGATCAGAGACTTGACATTGGATAACATCAACATCAATATTACCCAGAAATCACCACTGCATACCAAAAATACCAAAGAAAATAAGAAATTATGACATCATTCATTTAATTTAGCAATTTTAATTGTTGATTCACAGTTGTAGAATAAGTATAAGATAGGTTTGCCTTTTTCAAGGGCATATATAGCAAATTGCACCTCACGGGCCACAGTACAAGCACACTGCCTGCACTGTCTATATTGACACCCCTGATATAGTTCCATGGCCAATCTGTTGTCCAGTCATGTTGTTTTTCTTTTGTCTAAATATATGAAAACAACATCATATCACTCTACACTACAGACTAGCTGACATCACTTTACCTCGTCGCTTTGTCTTGAATTATATATTTGTATAGTTCATATTATTACCTGGATTCTTATTTTGTATATCTCTTATTTCATTGTTCTTATTTTTACATGTTTATTAATTTTCTATTTATCTGTTCTTATTTCTGTCTTTGTGCCGCTGCAACACCTAAATTTCTTATCTTTTCTCTACAACTATGGTGTCTCTGCAGTACCTAAAGTGCACCATAAGAGAGCAGCATTGCACCAGTAAATGACAAGCTTAGAGCAACAACATTTGTTTTTCATACTGAAGCATCTCAGAGACACATGAGGGGAACTACAGAGGATGGACACAATTGGCATGAACAATATAAAGATCTGACAGTAAGACACCAAACAATTTGATTGTCATGCAAAAATACAATCTTTGCATGTTAAGTCTTTATTGAAGTCTTTATGATGCCTTTTTAAATAAGATATAAAATCAACATTAAAGTAAAATGTTTGCCTACAGGATCATTTTTTTCTGAATTCTTGAATTCATTGTAAGTTTTTCTTTTATGATCTTTGGCTCTTACTTAATTATTTTGATGATGATGATGATGATGACTTATTCTC